AAGTCTAGCTCTACTATAATTAAGTTAAAAGTGGTCCTAAACATACTCTTTTGATAAAATCTAAATATTTTATTTTATGATCTTAACATGTATCCTTAAAAATTAAAATATACATCAAACTATCATATAAGAAGAAAAATATAAATAAAATAACTTTTAAAATTCTTTAAGTGGGGTAACTTATATTTATAAAAAAAAAAAATTATATATACCGAGAATATTATGGAAGAAGTTTAGTGAATTAATTAACAAGGAAATGGGTAGGGAAAGCCTTTCATATTTGTATTGAGCCATAAGGCATCAACGTCTTGTAGTGTGTGTTCAAACTTCAAAGAATAAATCAAGTTAGAAATTGACTAAATATAAATGGGTTGTGATTTAATTGTCAAAGGAAGGACCTGCAAATCTCTACATCCCAATTAAGCAAAGATATGGTTCCCAATTTTCTGCTTTCATTGTCGTTTTGTAGGGAAATTACATTTCAACCCTAAGGTTTAAATTAAGTACCTCTAGTCTTGCGAAAGTTTTCAATAACGTTCTAGTCCCTTTTAGGGGAATTAGCATTACTAACAAATTTTTACTATTTTAGGGATTATTAAAGAGTCTACAAAACTAAAGAGACTTAGATAAATGTTAGGGATGAAATTGTTATTATCCCTTTATTATCTTTAAGAGGGGCAATATCTTTGACTCTTGATAGATTCCTTTTTTCTATTGATTCATTTGCTATTACAAAGAACTAGAATACTTCCACAATCAATAAAGCGAAGCTAATCAATACTTATTAAGTGGGGTTTATCATTCTTAAAGTCAAGTTTGTCACTCATTTTTATTTTTATTTTCCCTTTATACTAAGCTTGTTCAACAAGGAAAAAATTCCCAACTCATTATAACATTATATTTTCATCTAATAATATCAATTTATTTTTACTTTTAAATTGATTTACAACATTCTAACCCAATTTAATTTAGTTGATGTTAAAAATTGTACAAACAATGGAATAAAAGGAAATAGATGTGAATGCTGATAATGGTGATGTCTAGGCTTACACCTAACGGGGAATTTTTAGGGCGTGAGAGTAATTCATAACGAAAATAAAGAAATTAAATTCGGGTGTTTAGTATTTCCTTTTCGGATGCTTCTCTTTCCAAGAGGTCCTAGAAACTGCAAAAGAAGAAAACACTTAAAGAGGGTTCATGGGATGATCGACAATGAAAGTCTTCTGACGTTCAATTCAATTTTTTCAATAAAAAAATAAAATAAAAAGAGAAAGATGTCAAATTTAAGAAAAAACGTTAGAGAGAGAGAGAGAGAGAGAGAGAGAGAGAAAGAGTTTGGGGAGAATGATTCATTTATAGGAGAACAAATCAATGGCATGATAGTTTTCTCTTGTCAATGAATAGGTTGTTTGGCTAACTTTGTCTAACCAGACGACCCGTTAACCGTTGTCTCTTCTTCTTATGCCAAATATTTGATTAAATCAATTTTGAAGCTCTCGCTACAAGTAATTTCGCTAGGGAGGGCATGGAGAGAGATTTTCAAGTATTAGCATCATCTCAATAGGTTTGACTTTGTCAAAATTGTATGAAATTTTTCTTCATAGATTCTATCGTTTATGCCTAGTTGTTTTTTTGGGTAGTGAACAAATAACTAAGTCCAAGATATGATACCATTGACTATTTGGGTCCCCTTTTTAACTCTACTCGAGTTTTATTATAGTGGAAAATATCATTAAAGTTGCAAATAGTACTTAAAAGACTTTGGAAGAAAGAGCATTAGCATCAACTTCGGCTTGATTGGCTCAACAAAGAACAATGCTTCTTCTCAATTTGCTTTTTCTCTCTACTAGATTTATCTATTCATTCATTTTTGGTATGCATGTCATTATCAATATGAGAAACTTTCCCAATTATTCTGATGAATTCAATTTTTTTGTTTTAAATCCCCAAAAAATAAATTTATCATATGCTATACAATAATGGTTCCCAGCTGCAATGCAGCATCCCAAAGTGCACTTTTATTGGAAAAATGATTGACAGGTATAGTCAAATGATTTGGTACCACACTCTAAAAGTTAATAATATATAATATTACTCTTGAAAAATAAATAAATAACAAGAAGATTTTATACTTGGAATGATTTTTGATGAACAAAATAATATTTACATGAATTACTTTTAAATAAGAATAAGACATGATATGTTGGGCTTAACCCCTTAAAAATCAAATAATTTGGAATTGTAAAAGAATATGATGGAGACAAATCTCGATCTCCAATCTCTCCATGTGTGTTTGTACCAAAAGTGTAATGTCTTATCTTTCTCCTGCATTTCTCAAAGTACATATTAACCTTTCTGCAACAAATGTTTGGTTTCTTTTGCTTTACCAAATCCCAAATCTTTTTTCTTTAAAACACGTGAATGGATCTTCACTCAACTCCACCCATTTTTGTTTCTTTTCTTCCTCAATTCTCCATCCCCTTTTTTTTCTTATAACTAGTTTTCAATTTTTTTGCATGTTGAGATATTAGCCTGATTGTTTAAAAAATAAAACAATCTTACCGCAAATTGGATTGGGCCTTTGACTTAATGGGGTTCAGAAATCTCACTTTATGATGGGCTAACTACTACCCAAAAAACTTTAGATTGAAGACTCTCAATTCTCAAATTGAGAATTTGACTTATTATTCTCAAGTTTTCATAAAGGGTTAAACTATTGTAAAATAAAAGTTTGACACAAATTTGTTACATAAATTCATGATAATTCAATGACTTATAAATTGTTTATATGGCATTAAAATAACCAACTCTTAACTTTTTATCTAAGTCCGTTGGATTATAATAATTCAATGGTCATGAATTTATGTCACAATTTTGTATAAAAATATTTTTATTATAAAGTTTGTGTTATTCATAAACTATCCCATATTCATGTGCCAAAATAAAACAAGATAGAAAAAGAATCATATTAAGGACGAAAGAGAATCTTAGAAAGAACAACCAAAGGGACCATAACACACTTAGAAACTTTTAACAAATTACCCACAAGTGCATATGGCCTTTAAAAAAAAAAAAAAGGAAAAAAACAGGAAAGTAAGTTTTAGCCCCCATTAAAATTGGTCAATATTCCCTACCTTAATTTTCTTTTGTTTTGAATAATTTCGAAAGAAACACACTCTTAAATTTTCTCCATAATAATGAATTTCATGGAAAATGTCAAAAGAATAACAAAACCTTTAATAAACTGACTTAATGCAGCAAAGAAAAGTTGGAAGATCAAAGGATTAGAATAATAGTATAAAAACAAATAAAAAGTTCAACAATAATGAAAACGTTGTTGCAAGTAGGGATTATTGTATTGTCACATGTAACATTAAATGTCGGAGATGGGTTCCTAGGCACGAAACTCAATTATATAGCACAACACTCCTAAGTTAATTTTATAATGAGGTAAAGTCAAGATGAAGCCCCAATTAGATTATGAAAATGGGATGTAATAAGTTTGATTAAGAAGTTTCAGAATATATTTATTAAAAATGTGTGGGTCCAATTGGCCACTCTAAAAGACATTGTCTTAGTGCTATGTGACATACATTATCTTGCAGGGTGAGTGTGACTAATGATATACTATGCTTGTCCCAACAATAACATTAGAAAGAGAAAACATTTCATCTTTACATGTGTTTTATGAGCATATCAGGACAAATGTTCATATGCATATCCATTACATTTCATTTCAAGGTTATATCATATCATATCATATCTTCCCCTCCCATGATTTCATAATGCAAAAAAATACATTAATAAAGTTAGCTTTATGGATATATATTCGTGAAGGATTTTTATTCGTTATTTTAATTTTATTTATTTTCATGTTAGTTAATAATTATTGATCCATCAGTGTTTCAGTTGATGTGACATTACTGAAGCTATTTTGTAGGTAAAATCACATTAAACTCCACGAGATACACTCTTTTAAGCCCCTCCCCTACTATTTTCAGAGTTATCGATATCTTCCACCTAACACTAAGAGCATATAAATACCCTTTTACCCCGTTAACATTTAATAAAGTGACCTTAATGCCCCTACTCTCCCAATATCACTCCAAGTTGGCAAGTTCAATAGCATAATTGAATACTGATTTACAACTAAAGAAGAAATTCAAATGAAAAAGAACCTCTATAGCAAACCAAACTCATATAAAATCATATTCATTTAAAATACATAACGTCAACAAATTAAATTATACAATCAAAGACTTGTCACCAAAATGCACCAGAAACTAAAATGTCTAGCTAGGCCTTGCTTGAGGTTGTTGCAATGACAGTGGCCATACCCAGTTAACCATGACCTTGCTTCAGGTTGCAACCTTAAATGGTAAGGTCAGGGTAATGACTAATGAGGCTATTAAGCGTGGTGAAGGTGAAGAGTGGGAAGCAGTTGGGGTTTATAAATTTTCATTTAACTATATTTTTTTACAAGTCAATTTATTCTTTTTCCTCCTTACGGTTAAAACTAACAATAAAATAGCTTTTGAAAATTGATAGGGGGTTAAGAGATATACGCAAAACTATTTGGGTTTTTCAGACACAGGGCATTACTTCAGGGTTTTGAGGAATTACTCGTATTATGATAAGAAAAAGAAAAATAATTCATTTAACACTATCATTAAATGTCATTTTAGTTAGGTTCTTATCCATACAACATATATAGGGACAAGAATCTTGATATATCTCAAACTCTTAACATTGTCTAAAACAACACCCAAAGAAGAAGAAGAAGAAGACGAGGAGGAGGACAGTGGCATGAGAGCGATTAAAAAAAGCATATGAGGGAGCTGAGTCATGTGGATGCAATTCAATATGTTGAGATGGGATAAGAGTTAATGTTACACAAAAACAAAAACAAAAGTTTGGTAAATACTGTTTGAAAAGAATATGAGCACATACTACTTTTTTAAAGTGGAAAGAGAATTAATGAGATGAGACACACAAACATTTGAGTATCTTTTTTGTGGGACTTACTATTAACTACTCTCCATCTTTTCTTCTCTCTCTCTCTTTCTACTCATTGATTTGTAGCTGTTGGAGACTTGAAGAGCTCAAACTTCAACACATAATGCTCACTCACTCTGTTGTCTGCTTTTTCTCTCTCTTTCTCTCACTTCTCTGACTTTCCTCCATCCTCTTCTCTTCCTTTCCCATAATTAATTGTACATCTCTCTCTCTCTCTTTACCATCTTATCTTCTGTTGTTAACCATTCCCATTTGTGGTAAAAACTAAGTCTACTTCTGACTCATCTCAAAGCAACAAGTCTTGTCTTGTCTTCTGAAACTAAATTTTTTTACCAAGGGAGGATGCTACTACCACTGAAGCTTTGGCATATCCTGCTCTACTGAAATTTCCAAAATATATATATATATATACACACACACACACAGTAAGTAAGCAACTCTTCCTGCCTTTCTTATATAGACTAAAGATTTGTTTTTTAAGAGTTACTTTTTTTTTTTCATGTTTTCTTTTACTTTTTGTTGTTTTTTTTGGTTAATCTTTGCTTTATTTGATGGTGGTGTTGAAATAGTGATGATGTTGTGTTTTTGGATATATTTTAAGAGATTTTTGCCATGGTTGTTGATCTTTTGTGAATGGAAATTTTGTGATGAAATTGTTCAAATATTATGATTGGTGATCCTTGATTTGAAACATTAGTTCATTATCTTTCATTAATTTCCTACATCATCATCTTTCATTAATTTCCTATGTCATAGCTGAACATACAGTGGAAAAGTTGTTTCAGATTGTGCAGCTGTATGCGTGGGGTTTTAAGTTATAATCCACGGGAAGATTCTACTTAGAAAGTTTCATTATTGGAATTATGGTTGAAAGATGAAACTTTTTGGGTGATATGTAGTTTATACTTAGCTGAATTGAGGTTTTTTTTTTTTTTTTATTTTTATTTATATTGTTAAGTAAATCAGTTGTGCTTAATTCGATTTTAAATCTAATTTTTAGATCCAGGAAGATAGCTCTGGTACCATACTAAGTAAAAACACATAACCATAATCAGTTTGTGATCTTGTAATGGAGGTTTGAGGACCATCGAAATTGATTTATTCTTTCTACCGATTCCCTCCCTTGTTTTACCCTCTTTTCTATTATTCTCAATATACAGTAGTTGCTGGCAGTGGCAGAGCTGTCTGGCAAAGAGCACAACTAAAGAAAAGAAATAGGAGGAGAGATAAACTCATCTGCAAAAAGATTGAGACACTGTAAAGTACAAGAAAATCAAACACTTGATGTATGTTTTAGGGGTTGTCTTGACTGTGCCCTTTTGGCAAATGGACTTTAAGAACTCACAAAAAAAAAAAAAAATTCAATATTATCAATACATTGAAAAACATGCTTTATGTAAATAAACTGTATTGAAATAATTTAAACATTTGTTGTTTTACTGGTCTTAAGGGCACATGTTAAGATTACTCTTATTTCAAAGGGAGAGACTAGATTAGAGTACGTGTTTAGTTCATATGTAACATGTTGCTATATTTTGGTACGCGAAAAAGGTGTATGTCGTGTGCAATAAGAATTTGGATGATATATCCATTTGTTGAATGGAGAAAATATTGTCTTAATATGCATATAGTCAGTTTTCTTGCTACACTTTTTGTCAAAATAAAAACTACTCTGTCTAGCTAGCTATTGCATAAGAACTCTCTATTGTCTTATTACCAGCTGAAGTACTACTTTTCTTTTAATTATAACACTTTCAAATGTAATTTGTTTTTCTCATTTTCCTGCAGAATAAATTGGGGTCTTAAACCTCCCAAATGTCAATTGGGTGATCATTAGTGTGATTTCATGCATTAGCATTCAGATTTCTGGTATACCTCAAGAGAAGTGTACGATCTACGGTATGAGCTCACTGTTGATATTTACCAAGACATTGTTTCGGCTTGCACATTTTCTTTGTTGATAAGCATTTACATTATTCTGATTAAGTAACAATTTGAGTAAAATTGTCCCCCTTGCCTCAACCAATCCGTTTGAAAATAGAATTGAGCTGCTTGTGCACAGAAATAGAATTATCGATTGTGAATTAAATACATATTGTTTCCTTGTTTATATTTTTACCTTTTGTTTCTTTGAGTGTTAACTTGTTAGGATTAATTAATATAGCATTATGGAGACTCAAATTTTAGATTAGACTGGTCCTACAAAAATGTTTCAAGTGCTACTTTTCGTCGTAATCTTTGTCATTGTTATTATCATAACTGGTGTTTTAGTTGGAAGTATGTAGCATAAGTAAAGATAACTATAACAATCAAAAGCTAGTCTGTTGATGTTGGTATTTGCTGCTGCTGTTGTCAGTTTTTGTTGTTTATACAAAGAAGAATGTTAGACTTTCCCCAAAGGAAAATCTTTTAAAGCTGCTTGATTTTGTTACCTGAAAATAGGTGAGGATGAGGTGTTTCCCGATTATTTTCATAGTGGCAAGAATTGTCTATCAAACATATTTAGAATCTAGTAAGTCCGAGTGAGTGCATGTTTCTTGAAATAGGTTGTCAGGATGTTGTGGTTGGAATTTTCTGTCAGGTGAATGATGGTTCACATACTTGACCCCAGGAGGCTGAGTAGGCAATGCAGTTGTATGGCAAGAAATATGGAACATATGAACAAGGTGGAGGGTATGAGTAAAATGTTCACATATTAGAGAATGGATATCCGTTGTTTAATTTAGTGATAATTAATCCATTTAATTCATGTAATCCATGTAAAATGATTATGAGCAGGTGGTTGATGAGACAGTTAACATACTATATTGAAAATGATAGACTAGGAGAGTAGAATATTATAGATAGAAGTCAAAGTACATGATTTAAATGTGGGTGCCTATAAAGGCTTTCTCGGGGAATCATAAAATCTGGTGAGGATAAAAACGAACATTTTAATTTAACATTAGAATTCTGGAAATTGTAGTTCCAAGGTTCTGGAATTTTGGAAACTTTTCTGTAAAGAAGAAATTAATTTCATAATTAATTTTAGGAAGTTCAGGGTGAATTGAGCTTGGTGAAAACTTTATATGGGTTAATTTACTACAGAAAATTATGTGTGATCTAGATTATCATTGGCTTGCAGACCATAAATCTGTCACAATTATAGTTAAGCTGAAAGACAATATTTTCTTGAACTTTTTCTTTTCCCTTTTCTTTCCTTTCTTGTTGCTTTTCTTTTATAACACTATTTGCTATCGGAGTCATGTTCATATAGCTTAATCTAATAGCATAAGTAGTTAATCTGCGTACGAACTGCTCCAAATGCTTGTTATCTTGTTCGGTGTGTTTTTTTCATATCTCCTTGAGAAGTTTGCTTTAGGATTAAATTATATGGTTAATGCTTCCCCAGTTCTTAAAAGCTCTTCCAAGATCTTTAAAACATGTTAATCAGTTGGGTATCCCAATATATAGGTTGGTATGTAATTCATTGTTGTGAAGATATCTCAATGACTCCTTTTTGGGTTGGTCATTTAGGGTCACTAAGCTGTCTTTGAAAGTGTTGTGAATCATTATCATCTCCATTAAACCTCTTTTGATCCTCAAGTTTGGAAGAATTTCCCTATAAAACAAAGTTCTTCACACAAAACCACATTATCCCTACATAGATAGATGGCACAAGGACGAATCTAGAAATGACTTTTATGGTGACCATTTGAGGTACTGGAGTGAGGAGAAATGTTGCCCTCAGTTGATTTTGCTAACAGTTGGTAGATTAGCCTTAAATGATTCACTAGAAACAAACTCTTTTAAGGTCTTGGAGGATAATAATTTCTCTAGAACTTATGAGGGAACTTGTGGCACTCTCTCAATTACCACCTGGTGGCCTAAAAACCTACCTAGAAAGACAAGAGTCAGCAAGATTTGTGTTTGACTTTAGTATATGACAAAATGATGGCATACAATGTAGCACTATTCCACTAAGAAAACAATTTAGAGCTGTTTAACGGTCGTGATTCTAATACCAAACTAAATAGAAATAAACCAAATTAAGCAACCTAAGTTATACTGCTGATGAACTAAACACCTTGGTGGCAAACACAGAGCATATACTTTTAAGGCTTAGTGGCATCAAATAATAGAAAATAATCACTCATTGTTATAGAGAGATATTGATGGTCATAAATAGAGGTCAAAATGAACCTTCAACAGATTCCATACATTTGATTCTAGTATATTTCTGGCTTTTGGTAAATGGTTCTGTACTGGTGATTGGAGAATGTGGTGATTCTGTTATTCCTCTGTGGTAGAATAAGCTGTGAACTTTTTGATTGGCATAATATACTTGTGTTTCTACTTTTAACTGATGTCAATTGTGTCAAGAAGCATCCAGGGCATTATCACGAGTCTGCATAATTTATGCTTTCACTTTTTGCTTCTTTCTCTCTTGGCTTCCACTATGGTGAATGGAGTAATCTGTTCTATCATACATGCAGGTGATTCTGAGGTAAAGAGCTAACTGCTTTTCACAATTTGTATAATTGTTTCCGTCGGTGCTTAAATAGAAAGGACAAAGCTCTCAACATTGCTTTAGCCGAACATGATTCCACTAAACTCCAACCTGGAATCAGCTGATCAAAATGATTCAGAAGCAAGCAGCCAAGTAGCTTCCAACGTATCTGTGCAAGAAGCATCCCCCGGTCCTTCCAGGGATAGCAACACCAATTCTTCTTGTCTCACAGATCGCATAAAGCAAAACATGGATCTCGTTCCTGTTTCCCTTGACTTAACACTCCACTTTAACTCTAGTGACACCGAGTCAAAAGGCACAGGAGAGGCTTCTGGTGAAGTGGCAGCTAATTCTCCGGCAGCCACAACAATCCCAAGAGTTTTCTCTTGCAATTACTGTCGCCGCAAGTTCTACAGTTCACAGGCACTTGGGGGACACCAAAATGCTCATAAAAGAGAGAGGACAATGGCAAAACGTGCAATGCGGATGGGGATATTCTCTGATAGGTATACCAGCTTGGCATCTCTGCCACTTCACGGTTCCGCATTTCGGTCCCTTGGGATCAAAGCTCATGCTGCAATGCACCAAGGTGTCATACCGCCACAAAGGCCTCCTGATATGAGAGGTGCAGCAAGGTTCGAGCAAGGGTATTATGGAATGCCAATGTTCATAGAAGATGATGATTTGGACTTGTTTTGGCCAGGGAGTTTTCGGCAGGTTGGTGATGGAGCTAGAGGTGACTCAACATTAGACTTCTCTCAAAATTCAAACTCAAATGTGAATTTCGCGGCCATGGCACCGCCATCAAGGACAGATTCATCTGCACCTGATCTTACCTTGAAGCTCTGATTGATGTATTTTCATTAAGACAAAGCCATTACAGTGTTCACTAGTCTGTACAGTGAGATGAAGTGTCTTTAAATTTTTTGCCAGAACTTTATAATTTTCTTTTAATTTCTATTCTTATTTGTGTTGTTATATGCTAGATGCTAGTTAGATTGTTATATAAGAAGTTTTGGGGTATTAAATTGACTGCTAGAGTCAGTTTTAAATAATTTAGAAATTGTTGTTTTGGGTGTGATGGAAATAACCAGCTAACTTTTTGCTTTTCAATTTTCTCATTTGATGTGTGAAATCATGTATCCATATTCTTTGCATTTTTGGAGAGCTTTGAATACTTTTGACTGTCCAAATTATCATGATGTTAGCCTAAAAGACTAGTTTATTAGGTTGGCCATAACCTACATTAAAGGTTTAATTAATTGGCGTTACGTAAACCTAGGTTTTTTTTTTATTAAATAATATTATACATATAAATAAACCTTTATTAATGTGTAATCAATTAAACTTATTTCTATGATTTAACTTGAAAGTTGTGAAAAATATTGATATTTCAAATGGTTATCATAAGCTAATTACACTTTCATTAGAAACTTATAGTTATAGGACACTTATGATAAAAAAGACAATGAGAGAACATTTAACAGTTTAAAACCATTAATTTTAATTTTATTAAGATATTAATGTAATTTTATATAAAATAAGTTCTTTTAAACTACAATAAAATGAAAATACATACCAGTAAGAAAATGAGACGTGTTAAAATAAAAATTAATCTAAACATATCAATGGAAAAAAAATAGAAAAAATGGAAAACTGAGAAAAAACTATACTTTATATTTTAATTTTTTTAATATATATATTGCTTAGTTTTTTTAATTTGTATATATATATATATATATTTTTTTTTTTTAAATTTCAGTGATATATATTATTTTATTTACATTTCTTTCTAATTTTTTTAAAGCAATAAAATGACTCACATATGGTTATTTAAATCATTTAAAAAATTTCGTTAAAATTAACAGTTTCAAACTGTTAAATGTCCCCTCATTAATTTATCTAATATAAGTGTCCTATAATTTTAAGTTTTAGATAAAAATGTCATCTTATTGATAATTGCCCTATTTCAAATTATGAGGGTATGCATCTCCAAATCATTTATTCAGGTCATATTATGAGACACAACAGTAAATATTGCCCTACCTTTAATCTAGTGTAAAAATCAATTATCCGCCGTATAATTTCAAAAGTTCAAATTTTTAGTTTACTATCAACTTTTTAATCAACTTACCCTTAAAGTTTTAAACAGTAATCAGTCATCCCCCCAAACCCTAACACCAGCCAAGTTTTGTTAAATGAACAATGGTAAGATAGTCTTTTCATTCCTTCCTCCCTTCCTTATCTTCCACCTCCTCCTTTCTTTTTCTCTTTTCCTTTTTTCCTAATTCCCCCTCATTTGTCTCTTTCTCCTCCACCATCTTCTTCTTCCTTACTTGCTTCTCGCAACAAGTGTTTTTCTCATATCTAAAACGGTGCTAAGGGAACAAATCTAGTAGCACAGAGCTCCTCCCAACAATTTCTTTTTCATTGTAAATGGAAATCACAAAATTTTCATCCCCAAATTTAGTTAAATTGAGAAAGCGTTTGAAAAAAGAGAGTAAACGACATGTTCCCTCCTAAGGTTTCGCGAAATGGCAAGGGTCCACCCTTGGTTTCATAAATTTCAGATTCTCACTCTTAAATTAACAAAAAAATTGTTTAATGTAATGGACAAAGAGTAAAGTGATTATTTGCATTGCATTAAATATGAAATGAAAATGAAAATTTTAAATTAACCCTCCACATCTCAAACTGCTCTCACAAGCACCCTCTCTCTAAAACTTTTTCTCTTCTGCCGCTTCTTTCTCCCTCCCTCACCACATCCTCCCATTTCTCACGCTAACTAATATCCATGCTCCTCTCTCCCTCCCTAACCCTTAACCAAACCCTGATCTCCTCTTCAGCACCGTGGGGAGGCCTTGTGGTGGCCAGATTTGGAACTTTGCTTGGGCCAAATGGTTGCTTCTAGGCCCTCGCGGTAGCCAGATTTTGACCGCCATGTTAAGGCCTTGTGGCGATTGGAAATCACCCTCGACACCACCATTAGCATCATCGGCATTCCTTTACCAAAACCCCTAACATCTCATACCATAATTGCCCGTCGATCACCACCTGTAGTTTTGCGTGATTGTCCTAGAGTTTGGGGTCGTATTTTCACTTTTTCTTGGAATTGAGTTGTAGTTTGAGTTAATTTGGAGTTGATTGGTCGATTTTTAGTGTGATTTTTTGTTCATTTGATTGATTTGTAGTTGTTTCCCTGGCTGTTTTCCTCGTCGTGAGCCTCTGCTAACCTTCCCACTGCCCACATCCACCACATGTTCAACCAATTGCCCTAACCAGCACCCAGGCCCTGCGTGCGTAAGCAGCTCACACACAACACACCTAGCGCATACAGTTGGCTGGGTGGCGGTGGCAACAGTGGCTGGGTGGCGGCAATGGCTAGGTAGTGGTGGTAGTGGTAGTGGCAATGGCAGTGGCAATTGCTGGGTGGTTGGAGAGGGGGATGATGTGAAGGTTGAAGAAGAGGGTGTCATTGAAATAAATTTGAAAGTAAGATGATTATTCTAACTCTACTAATTTGAGGGTTAAAAAATAGTTTATTAATTTATTTGTCAAGGGCAATATGGTAATAGTACTGTCAGAACCTAAAAATCACTAACGATGTTGCTTTTAAGGGTGGACATTTGAAATTTTATGAAACCAGCGGCAGAAACTTGTTTTTTTGGCAAAACGTTGGGTGGAAAAAAAAAAAAAAAATCGGCTATGATGGGAAATAACTATTTTATTACATGACATGTCATTAAAGAAAACATGGTACGAAGAAGATTGTACATTTGTAAACATATTTAATCAACTTCAGAGAATAAGTTCATTAAAAGTCAATAATTACCCGAAAATTTTGAATTTAGAAAACTATAGGATGAGTAAAGATTTTCACTCCTTTAATATAAGATGTAACTTTAAAATTTAAGATGCAACTTTAAAAGATAAGTGTCGTAATTGTTAATTTGGGCGGTTGGGGTTCACAAATTTCTTGTCTTTTGACGGACTTGGAGGATGGTGGTGGTACTTGTAAGACGTGCACAACTGCACTTTCGTTTCATCTTGCCAACTTGTACATTATCCAAACTCCAAGCTCTTCTCTGCAACTATTTAATAAAATATAGCAAATTATTATGCACACTTTGCATTATTAAAGATTATTCCATTTTATGAATTATTGAAAACTTTACTGGCATGAGTGTTCAGGGAAGTCATTATTTGCTTAATTGCTTGTTTGCACCAACCAAATCACCCAAGAATGTTTGCCCATTGTGTTGCCTCCACAAAAATAGTTAGATTTCAATATTTTAACACATACTCATACAATTTGGGTCACACAAATTTTTTTTTTTTTTTACTAGGGATGTTCGGACCAGTTTGCACGTACCTCAACTAATCCCTCGGGACCCTGAAACTACTGGTTGGGTAAGAGCTCTAGTGGCTACCCCTATTAACAGCTGTGCAAAATTGAACTCGCAATACCATGTTAGATCATTCTCTTGCTTTTTTACCATCAAGATAACTCAAACTTAGGAGACCATGTTAGATCTTTCTTTACTCTTTCACCATCAGGTCACCTAATGGTGGTTCAAATTTATTGTTTTTATCTTCTAAAAAATAGATTTGTGCTTTAAACTAAAATTATATATGGGTAATATATTTTTCAACATGCATTTTAAGAATACTAAAAAAATTAAAAATTTAAATATATCAGTATTCATTTTGTATAAACATTTATTGATATTATTTATTTCCTTTTCCTTTTTAATCTTTACATGACATATGTTAACCTCATACCAAGATATTTGTGAGCCTTAATATTTATTGGTATTAGTGTGTTTGAATTTGCTACTCTAGTGTTTGATCTTCTGTAAGTTACAACAGTTTTCTACTCAAGTAATTGCTTAATTAAAGAAATTGATTAAAATTGTATATATCCTAAAACGAAGACAAGATAGGCTTTGATCGGAAAATAATATGACAAGCTTTTTATAGCCAATCAAAGGAATAGATTCTATGGCTGAAGGACAGATGGTTTCTTAATATTTTTGGGAATCTAGCGTAAGAAAAAGCCAACCACTTTACGACCAAGACCCGTAGTTGCAGGATTCTCATGCGAAAAATCATCCGCGTTTGTTTAAGTTTTTAAACCCTATCCTATCATCCAATTCAATCTAGTAAAATATATATTTGTTTTAGTATTGATTATTAAATTCAAAATCCAATCATATTACATATATTCAACTCAAAACATTTAATAATTACTTTTCTCAATAAAAGTTTATAAATTAACAAAAACACTCCCACCACACAACCAGCCAAATACAACCGATTGTGCGCCATTCTGCTGGCAGCCGACCACCACCATCGGACGATGGTCGGAAGCCACCAGAATGGCGCATAATTAACTGTATTTGGCCGGTTGTGCACTGATATGACCATTTCCAACCAAATCCATCATAGATATGGCCGGAAACAACTAGATCTACGGCCAAAGATAGATTTGGCTAGAAACGGCTAGATCTGCGGCCGAAGATCTGGCCATTGACTGCCAAATTTGGCTAGATCTAGCCGTCATTGACTGCCAAATCTGGCCAGACCTGGCCATCGTTGATAGCCAAATGACGGCCATACAGATTTTCTGGCCGTTGTTTGGATCCGGCCATCAACAGCTAGATCTTTGGCCGCTCAGTGCACAACCAGCTAGATTCAACCGGTCGTGTGCCATTCCAGTGACTTCTAGCCCCCGTCCGATGGTGGTGGTCGACTATAGTTGGGTGAGTGTTTTTGTTAATTTATAAACTTTTTATTGTGAGGGATGCTTAGTTAAATTAACAAATATGAGGGGTTAAAAAATAATCTAAATATTTTCAGAAAATATTTTTCAAAAATGTATCAAACACATTCTCAAAATCCTATCATATTTGATTAAATCCTATTAAGAATAGAATATTATTCTAAAAATTTAAACAAACATAGCTTTTTTCCAAAAAATTATAATTTAGAAGGAAATACTGAGAAATATTTGAATATATTATGTTATATTCTTCTTAGCAGAGGGAAATAAATTTTCTTCGAGAGGCCAAGGCAAAGATCAAACTTCATACAGAGAATTTATAAATATATCATATTATGATCTCTATTGTTATG